TATTGAAGCCTGGAATCTTTTCCATATCCTTCCACTGCTCCCTCTTTAAGAAAGCAATAAATGATTGAGTGTTAGTTTCATTAATATGTCTTTTATATATTATATTATCTGTTATGTGCAATTCAGGAGTATCAATTTTGATGATACATACCTGGAATGTATGATCAAACATAAGAATCCCCCACTATTACTTCCACTGTTTGTGCATCTGTGAACATAACACCTAATAAAGTCCTTGATGTACCCTGTATTCGTGTTGGTTGTTTGATTACATTTACCATATTGAATTCATTGATCATATTGTTCACTCGCCTAGTGGAACTATTATCAGACAGTAAATTAATGTTTATATCCCCACAGAAGAAATAGTATGATTCGTTTTCATAAATATCTAATAATAATTTGTATAGTTGTTGAATGAACAATATCTCATCACTACGGGGTGCTCTATACAAAGCAATGATAAACAATTTTTTTTTATTTTCCATCTGTACAGAAACAATATTTACGTCGAATGACTTTTCAATATTTTCTCTGTAATTTATTCTTTTTAGGTTAAGTTTTGAATTGGCGAATATGCATTCTCCCCCACGAGTAGATATTGTTCTACAGAAATGAGATATTAAAGAGTATCCTATCAGATTAATATAGTTGAATTTGTCGTAAGTTAACCAGTGTTCAGTGATGCAACAAATGTCAATTTGAAATTTCTCTAACATAAGCATTAGGTCGTCTATTTTTTGAGGGGCAAAACCCTGTATATTAAAATGCAATATATTTAAGAGGTTACTTGTTTGATAATTTTGTTCTTCAGATACATGTGCATTATCATTTGGCTTATCTTCATTTCGTTCACAATTTCGTTCACAATTCAGGAATTGGCCTTCTTCATCCCTCCTAAAAAAGACCATTGCCCCTGTGATTGTCCATCTGTCTTGAAATCATATCTACGGTATCCTACTCCTTTGGGCCAGAACGCAGGATTATAAAATTCATCCTTATACTTGAAATCAACAGCTACCATGAAACATTTGAAACCATTCTCTTCTTTCAGGAATGTTACAGTAAAGTCACTCATATTTTGTCCTGTTTTTTCCTGAAGGATTCTTTAATATCACTTTCTTCAACTTCTGTGACAACTCTATATAAGAACATCCAAACTCTTGGCTGTCTTCCGCTCCCATTTTCTGCTTCTCCGATAGTTTTCCTGTAGAGTTTTCTAGGCTTTTTATTTACCTTTTCCCATTTTTCATCCTCTTCTTGATTATCTTTTCCGAAATTCCCTAGGTTTATAACGCTATTCATGAGATTAGTTTCTTCCCTTTCAAGATGAGAAAGTATTTCATTTTGGTTTAAGGTGGGAGTGTATCGTAGGTCAGTGAAGGATGATTCATCTTTATTTATTTTTCGCGTACTGTTTATAGTTTGTGGTGCGGCTTTTTTTGCCTCGTCAGTTAATGGGGCCAGAATATGTGTTTTTATCTCTTTTTTATCTCCAGTGTTTTTGTTCATCTGTTTATTGAGTTCTTTTATTTTTTCTTCTAATAATTCCGCATTTCTACCCAATAATTTGTTATTTTCGAGAAGCACTCGATATTTTTCATTTTGCTCATTGATAATTTGTTTGAGTAATATTAACTCAGTTAGTTGCCCATTGTCCTTATGGTTAATTTCAACCTTTTCCTCGTTGCTGTATTTGTCGAATTGACAGCATTTCACTCTAACATCACAGATTTGAATCAGTTTCACCTTATTCTTAGTAGCACATGACGGATGAAAAACATTTCCGCATGTAACACAAACAAGAAACTTCACTTGTTTTGTTTGACAGCACTTAAAACTTTTGTTTTGACTTTGTTCCTGATTATTTGGAGCACGATCATTACCACTGACACCTGTGGACGCCATCTTGATGTACGTACGTACGTACGTAATTCACTCAACTCTGAAATGAGTTTGTGGTCAGAGAAGATTCCATTGGAGACCTTATGGTGACTGTAAATTTCTGGATTAGTTGTTAGGTATAAATACAGAAGACTAGCATATTCACCATCACGGTCAAGAATCCTGGTTGACTCATTTATAATTTGAGCAAGTCCGCTGCTATTGCAAAAGCCTCAGCTTCGCGACTTTGTTCGTCGTTGATATTTGAATATTTGAGTCATTCGATATTGTGGACATTGAAGTCAATGAATATGTAAATTTCGACACTGTGATGATTGATTTACAGAAATTCAATGGTGTTTGCAAGTGAAGAGAATAGTGCCCTATATTGTGTATCGCAAGCTTGTCGATAAACGCAGCATATGAATTTGGTGATCTTCTTTGATAATATTTTCAACTACATAACATCAAAGTTTCGGGGTTCCAGCATTTTCTCTCGTTGACATGAGAGATCGCTTCTGATAAAAATAGATATTCGAAAGTTACGTCTGAATCGGGTGTGGAAATCATAGACGGGATATTGAAAATTGACGGGGTTTGTTGAAGCACTGATTTTGGTTTCTGTGAGTGCAAGAATGTGAGGATCATTTGTTTGCAGATGTTGCATTACACTCGTAGTTGGTCATAACCCAACAACTTTTAATTCCAAGTTTTTTCAATGATTTTTTTGCAATTTGCAATTCTTCCAATGCTATTTCACATTAGGCGCTCAATATGATATTTTTTATAATCTACAAATGAAATCATTTGAAATGTACCCACATCGGCCTGTTGCGACTAGTATAACGAAAATATGTTATGATGCCCTTTTGGCTTCGAAAAATGATTAATTATGTTTCATGACATGAATCCATTGATGCCAAAATCATCGAAATCGAACGACCGGAAGTGAAAACCGAAAGTGACTTTTTTTGACGGATTCGAAAACTTCTCACTATAAGGAATCCAAATATATCATATGTTGTATACAATATTTTTTTTCATTATCGGATTTCATTACCGGTTTATTTTTGCATAAAACGTCAAGATATGTCAAAGGTGGATAATAAATTTATAAGTTTGACAACCCCGCTAATTTCTATAATCACCAGTGTTGAATTTTTATAGTTGGCACCCCTGTTCATTTAATTACCTCCCTATCCAACTTACCTACAAACTCCCTATATAACCAAGTTTTTAGATTTAAAATGTATTTGTTGATTTTTATATTTGATGAAACCGGAAACCGGTCGTAAAAATAAAATAACTATTGGAAATAAGACAAAAGTGATTTCATTCATTTCATAAAGGTGATCATGAATTCACACAAAATAAACAAGTCATCAATCACACAAATTCAACTTGGGAATTCAAAATAATTACTGGGAAAAATCAAATCACGTAGTCAATTCATGTATTCAATTGTGAAAACATAGCTCATTTTCAATTCAGAGAACGTTGGCGACTGCAGCAATCTCTCGTCATTATTATTTCAACGTAGAAATGACCAGTCTCTATTGACTTCAGTTTTCATCACAATGTCATTGCATACATTTTCCAAAGGTCAAATCCAGGTTTGAATCCGATGGGAAAAATCTCAGTTCGAATATCAGCTCGAACATTTTTTTGCATCACATCACTAAACTTAAAGTAAAACAAAAATCGAAACAACCGCCGACCCAAGTGTACCACCACCATCCACAGTTCGATTTTTCTGTTGAGGCTGAGGTCAAAGACGAGCACGCCGACGATATGGATTCAATTCAAATCTATTTTTTTATCTAATTCCAAATGAAATTTATACTTGGCGCAAACATTTGACAGATTCAAAATTAATATCATAGGCTGAGAAGGACAAATGACGCGTTTAGGTTCCATGATAAATGGCAATTCTACCTGAATTTCGTGTTACGTGAATTCAAAAATTGCCATACATGTCTCGTGGTTCCGACTCGGGACGCGCTCTTATTTCAAAATTATTCCAGAATAATTAATTTGAACTTCTCGCCAAAAATTACCGCCATATTGGGTTCTTGGCTTCTTTTACTTATCAAATTAGTATAAATAATTTTATAAATAAATCGCTCATAGACACGAAGACACGGATAAATTCATAAAGATAAATAGAGGCTCCTCTGCTGAATAATTTTGTCAAGCCTTATTGAACAGCCACCTTAAGGGTCTTAAACTGGAAAATTTTGTAAATTTTCTTTTAATTTTTTTCTACTACACCTAAGGTTAGATATTCACAAATTCGTTTTTATTCACTTCAGATTTAGCAACCGGTGAATCATTGTACGAGGAGTTGATAAAAAAATACCCTGACTATTTTTGTATTCATATGGCATATTTGCAACTCATCGATCCTCTAGATAAACGCATCTTGCCTGGCAGTAAAAAGCAAACTACTTCAGTAGATCTTCAGAAAGTTATAACGATTTGCACGAATGTGATTGGAAATATAAATGAAGAAAGTATTCTAGCTTATATTGCAACAAAGACTGATTCCAGAAGTGATGCAGCCAAAATAAAGAGGTAGTATTTATTGGAATACTCCAAAAGAAATTTGAAATAATGATTTATTTTCAGTACTATGGAGCAACATAGAAACGTGTATCTAGAATGTTTGTCGAGAAAAGGTATAGCTTTATGTCGTATCAGAATCTTGAATGAAAAAGACGAAAATAAAGACGAAATAACTGCAATTTGGAGATCTGTAGTAAAATTTGTTGATCCCAACGAGACAAAGGTATGTATTTTATCAGTTATTGTTAAATGAAATTGTTTTTATTCATTGGACCATTCTTGCAAGTATTTACAAGTATTGTAAATATTGTAAGTATTGACAAATATTGAATTCGACTAGACATTTCAAATAATCAAGCAAAGAACATTCATTGCATCAATTTATCTATCTATTATGATGAAAACTGCGGCCATAAGTTGAAATATATTCAATAAGGCTACCACAAAGTATGTTCGAAAAAATATCATAGGTTATTTATTTGAACAATGAATAATCGATATTTACATAATATAAAGTGCATTAAGATTTTTAATAATTATGTTGTTAACTCTTATATCATCCCGAAGAACATTCAGGCAATATTTGTAGAAAAGTGTTTGTTCTTGCAAAAAATATAAGATGACTATCGAAAAAATCATGTATTGTTATAAACCTATCCTTGTTCCAACAGTATTGTTACTCCACTGAGTAACTGAGTTACTTGAGAAGGGTCTAACAAACAGGTCGAAACGAATAATAAACTCAGTAGAAATTAGACAAAACTATTTTCTTTATCCTATATTCAATATGAATTTCTACAAAAGAAATAGGTCATAGATCGAACAATTTCACCTAAATTTCATTATTTAATTTAATAGTCTCGAATTTGTGTTCAAACAGTCTTATAATCAAAAAGTTAAATCTACATATTTTTTAAATTCGCCAAGAATTCTCACGAAATATATTTTTTTGAAATAAGTCTACAAAGTATTTCAATTTTCAGGGGTTGGCCAGTCATATCCTCTATTTTTCCATATGGCATGCCTTCATTAATAAACAATACGGTAGGTTAACGAAATTCATTTTGAAAATGCAGGAAGATAAACCCAGCGAAGAAGTGGAGAAAAAACTCATTGAATATTGTGATATGCTCAAGTGGACTCATATTGTTCAACATCTCCAAAGAAGTATGCCTTCAAAATTTCCAAGTGCTTTCAGACCATTCTAAACTGAATTGCATTACCAATGATTTTATTATTGTTGTGTTTTTGGGTTATAATTAAACAAGTGTTTAATACTACTTGTTTATTACTGTAGGAAAATATATTCGGTCTGCGATACATTCGGGCCCGAGAGCCTTTTTTTTTACCTGGCGGAGTGTAGGAGGGTACTCTATAGTTTTCCCTAATACACTACACATCTCTTCCTCACAAAAAATACACGTTAATAAAAATAGTAAACACTAATAAATGCCAATTTTTTTACAATGGAGTAAATCGTTCTAAAGGTTTCAACTCACTCCGTCTCCACAGACATATGTCGCTACTACTCTGGTTATTTTCTGAAATGTCAGTTTGACGGTCATTTGACTCTATCTCTGAATTAGCGTTTTCTGGCCTTGGTGGTGAAACACCATCGTTTCAAAAGTTAGAACAATTTTCACTGTCTTGTCTTTTCAGAATTTTACCATTTTCTTCGAATGATTGAGAAAAGACTTGTTCCCCATATTCTGTAGTAGTCGGAGTAACTTGGAACAATTTTCTTTCAATTCTCGGACTCAACTGATTGATATGCTCGGAAATTGGCCTTAATATTCCATTATGATTTTTCTTTTGTTCATCTTGATTTTTATTTACTGTGTTGTTAACTGATGGGAGTAATAGATGAAATTTTGATGGCAGTCGTCGCCCCAAAAGTAATTTGGAAGGTGCCTCATCCGTAGTAGATTGAGTAGTGTTTCGATACTGGAAAAGAAACCTATTTATTACAAAATTCACATCAGTTTTACCTTCCCTATGACCCTTCAAGATTGCTTTCTTCATTATTTTAACAGGGCTTTCGGCTTGACCGTTTGTTTGGGGGCTGTAGGATGGTCCTGTTAGATGTGCAATGCCACACTCTCTCAGAAACTTTTGAAACTCGTTGAAGCAAAATGTTGGGGCACTTTATGTACATATTTCTTTTGGTAAGCCAAACTTGTGAATACGTTCTGTGAAATTCGTATTATGACATAAGCGTTCACATGACTTACTTCGAAACACTCGATCCATTTTGATGTTGCATCTTCTAAAACGAAAAAGTCCGACAAGGTCCAAAAAAATCAAGGCGGTGCCTTGTCGAAACATCTTTTGGTCATTCCCAAACGGCAAAACTTTATTTTGGTGGAGAATTTGAAAATTTAGCACAAATTTCGCAAAAATTATTTGTCAATGACTGGCAACCAAAAGTAAGATCGAGCTAGCGCCTTCATTTTTAGTATACCCATATGGGATTCGTGTAATTGTCTTATAAAATAATTTCGAAATTTACCCGGAATGACTAATCTGTATTCCCAAAGTAAGCAATCTTTCTTGACGTTGAGCTCTTTTTAGGCAAAAAAATATTGTTACAGATTTGACTCCGTACATTTTGTTGGCCCATTGAAAACGTAAAAAAAATATTTTACTCAAAAGTGGATTTTTTAATGTGGTCCGTTTTATTTCGTTGATCTTTGGAGATATATTGTGATTTGATACGAAACATGAATATGAAATACTATCGTATTTTTCATGACAATGTAAATATGATATTTGTGCGATGTTTTCGCCCTCACCACTAACTGGTGATCGTGAAAGAAAATCTACATGATTATTTTCAGAATTAATGAAGTGTATTTCATAGTCAAAAGCAGACAGTATGTATGCCCATTTTTGAAGTCTGTTGTCGGCAAATACTGGAATTCCTTTTTTTTGACTAAATATTGTCAGTAGTGTTTTGTGGTCTGTGAAAAACTGAAATTTCATGCCAAACAAGTACTGAAAAAAATTTTTGACTTCGAAAATTATACCACTTGCTTCTTTTTCTATCTGTCCATATTTTAATTCCGCTGAGTTTAATAAACGCGACGCGAAAACAATTGGCCTATCTCTTTTATCTTCGTACACGTGACTAATCACGGCTGCTTTAGCAAATTTACTACCGTCCACTGGCAATTTTACTATTTTATCGGGGTCAAAATGAACAAGTACCCTAGGCGGCACTAATATTTCCTTTATATTTTCAAAACTGTTCTGACACTTTTTTGACCAGTTCCATTCGGTGTTCTTTTTTAGTAATTCGTATAGAGGTTGCATCACGTCTGATATATCCGGAATAAATTTACAGTAAAAACTAACCATTCTCAAAAACGATTTTAATTCTGTGACATATTTTGGAATGTTTGCCTCTTCTATGACCTGTGTCTTTTCTCCAGAAGTTCTTAACCCGTTTTTATTAATAATGTGCCCAAGATACTTGACCCTGTCCTGAAAAAAATAACTTTTTCTTTCTTAACCTTCAAACCACTTTCATGGATTCTAGATAGGAATGTTTCTAATTTTGTTAAATGATCTTTGTCGTTTCTGCCCGTAATCAGAATATCATCCATACAGCACACCACACCCGACATGTAAACGAAAATTTGCTCGATGATTTGTTGAGATATACTGGGCGCGCTTATTATTTCGTACGGTTGTCATAAATTGCTCCTTTCTGATTTATTTTTTCTTTTTAAATCAATTTTTTGGCAACTGCAGTCACCAGATACAGATTTCTCCACATCAAAATTTGGAAGCTAGGCAATTCCGAGAAGGCTGTAAGATTCCGTGTCGGTCGCACGAAGGCCGGTCTTTTTGAAATCTGATCATTTGGTATACCTACTTCTCTCTCATTATGTGGTTCTAGAAATGAATTTTAATCTTAATTAAAATGCTTTTCATTCACTACTCTCTTCTCAATATATTGACAAAAAGTTCCTTATTTGTTTTTGTTCTCTCAACTTCATCTTACTCTACGAGGATGGTGTTTTTTTCAGTTCAAGGGAAAATGAAAATTTAAGGTTTCAAATATAAAGTATAATAAGTAAAACAACGACTCCATGGACAGAATAATAAAAAAAACAACGTGTAAAATCTTATATAAAAGGAAAATGGTAAATTCTATAAAATAAACGAAAATAGAACAAAGGAAACGCCGCTAATTTTACCATGCTATTTACTGATAATTTGACCTGTTAAATAACTACAAACGCACCAACTCGGTTTTACTTTAGGGAGAGTGGTGTATAAATTTGAATTTGCGTCTTTTTTTGTAATTGTAATATGAACTCTAGCTAACAACCCGCACTAGGAACCCAACAATATATAACCTATTTGAAAATAGAAAGTGGACTCAGACAAAATAATATGTGAACACTCTCTCAATATCAACTGGTTAGTAAAAAAACAAACACTCACATAACGGCTATTTGGGTGGTTCAACCATAGAGGTTCCGTTGACCCAGTGTGTTTTCAACACCAACACTTTAATTTCAAACTCCCCTGTACCTATTACCGGTTTATGATTTCACTACCGATTTTCCTTAAATTTCGCACCTCGCGCTTACAAACAAAATAACTCCCCTCAGCCTCGAAGGCTGAGGAATCAGACCTCCGATTTCGTCTCGATGAGTTCCGGTGACCGACTTTTTGTGTCTCCCGCAAAAACTCCCAAGCCCCCGCATCAGCTATGTTAGTCACAAAAACCTCATCTCAGCATTTTTTTAACCTTCCCAAGCGTATGATCATCGGCAGGGTGCAATATATTCGTTTGTTTAGCCTAGCCCAACTTGAACATGACCACAACGACTCCCGAAGGTCCGACAATAATTAAGTAGGTCAACCGCTTTTTCAACTGAAAGAAATATCGATACCGAAGAAACAGGTGATCGACCTCGATCTCTATTTATAAAATATTTTACGTTAACCATCGCAATGGCAGTTATTACACCACTTCTCCCTTCGTAAAAATTCTGAGAACACAGTGACATAACTTTTTAGTAAACTAATGCTACATTATCATAACCAGAATAGAAATTCGTCATGCATCCTAATGCTAACAAAACTTCTGTCACTTTTCGGCGAACAAAGGTTTCGCGTCTGATCCACGCACTGCACTCGCGAACACTCGCGTTTGTGCGTGATTTACTGCTGCAGTCAGCGAGGCTCCCTTGCCTGCTGTAGCCTGATGTGGTGTGGTGTGATGCGGGAAGTAACATTTTTCACAAGTCCGGGAAGTCCCAGGACTTTCCGCAACTCTGCTACTCTGGAACGCTGCTACTACTAAACTAGAGAGTTGGCGATCATAAGCTTCGCAACCCTCATCAAATGGTGCATACGTTAATTTGCACACGATTCTCGGTTAAAGTTCTCTCGCGCACTGGCGACAAATTCAGTCCATCGTACTGTGCCTTACTGTCGCTTGGGCACTACAGTTCGCGATAACTGGTCCTCTATACTTGGCGTTGGCCACGGTTCATACAAGTTTTCGAAGAAACCACTTGCTCTTCTGGATTCCCTCGCAACATAGTAACTTGATCCTTACTTTTTCTACACTGGTGCAACTATACTAGCACCTCCATAGTGGGATATGTCCCTGAACCGTTAAGGCGTTACTACTACACCTCAATCAAATTTGAGTGTACGCCACTCCTGCTTTCTGATACAGCGTCAGCGACGCTACTGGTTCATTATACTCGTACATGAAGGTCCCTGTCCTTACTGCAATTCATCTGCAGCTCGCGGTTCACACTGCAATTCATTAAAAGTCCGATACTGTCGTGGTCTTCACCTGGGTGATGAAGCCAGACATCATGAGCATGGTTACTTCCACGATCTGCAAAGTTGGCAGCTCCCTGTTGCCTTCTTCCATAAGCAAGGCGATTGCCTCACTCCGTTCGCTCCTCCTTAACCATAATTGTACATATTATCAACAAAAGTCCAAATAAAATCTTCACCATTATTCAAAATAGCATAGAACAAAACATCATATGACAACCAATTAGTCAATTCTATCAAATCAAATTCCTATCAAATCAATTGTCCAAACAAAACATAGAAAAATTAAATTATGGTTTCAATCCACAACTCAAGTCGCTATCTAATCCTACTCTCATACAATATTATCTTAAGTGGCTCAGGCAGATTTTATAACTAACAAAGATGTCTTTATATGGATATGATCCTGCCTACCCATATCTACGGGGGTTCAGTTTCTCGCGATATCCAATATCAAGAGTTCAGACCCTTTCGTGACCTTTCCCTTATTAAAACCTTTCCCTCTACTC